GGGTGCAACGGCCCGTAGATTGTACTCTTCACTCCTCCCTTTTTCAATAGTTATACACAGAATTATTTTTTTGAAAGCTGAAGATATCAGCTGAAGTTAGTGAAACATTCGCAACGCGAACTGCGGCGTTAAAACAGCAGTTAACAAACAAAACAAGTCAAAATTCATTGCTAAAGCTTTCAGCCTCGCGGTCATTGCCGATATCGGCTAACCGGCTCAACACGTTAGACGTGTGAGTGCTGAAAGCTATGGTACGTATACCATGAAAAGCTGAGTTGGAATGAAATGGTGCCCCGGTAGCGTAACTGGTAGCGCACTTGCCCGGAAAGCGCGAGGGTGGTGCGGGTTCTAGTCCCGCCTGGGGCGGAAGTTTTGTTCGCAACCCAGCATTCTTGTGAAACATTCGCAACGCGAACTGCGGCGTTAAAAAGAACGCAGTTACACAAAACAGAACGGAGCTGAAAGAATATCGTAGACTGAGCGTATTCAAATTTCAGGAGCACATTCTCGGAAGGCACCTTCTTTGAACTGTGAAATGTAGGATCTGATTTTGACTACACGATATACCAAAACGCACTCACCTAAGTCAAGAAAAATATCAAACAAAGGGTGTCAGTTGTTTTCACTTCACTATTGATTAGTTGTGCAGACAAGTATTTTTTCGTTCTGCCTTGCAAATGGGTGGAATGCTTTCCCCAGATGGCTGGAATCATTCAATCAGACGACTGATGATCTGCATAGTAATGCAGCGAACCAGGGCCTGCAACAAGAAGCATAGTCAAATCTCTTCACGTTCATTAGAACGATAAACAGAACTATCAAGGTGCTTCATTCGGAGTTATGAAACAAGTTCACTAATAGGCATGGCTGGTGAGGGAAATGGTCGGAGTTCTTCAAGACAAGATGACAATGACCTCGCTTATACATCTGCGTGTAACGTCAAAGAGATCAGAAGCAGACTTCGGGCCTACGAATGCCATAGGAAGGTATATTTGTGAAGGCATTGGAATTCATCAGCGACAGCGGTTTTAGGGACGCTCTCTACATCTTCAGCTCTAATACGTAACTCTCACTTAACCCTTTCCGGACCGCGCACTTTTCACGTGGCGGGCGCGTGTGGCCGGCGCCTTTTTATGCTCACCGTCGCGCGCTACTCAGCGAGCATAAACATCATGTATTTAATCTGTATTCCCACTAAAACCAATATTATGTCTCGTTTGTGTCTTTCTCATTTCTTAAAGTATATCTGTGGTAAATATGACAGAAAGCCCGCTCCTAAGTATAAAAGTGATAGGGCCACA